GATTTTTATTAATCAGTTTTCCATTGATTGTCATGTATTATATTAATGAGCTGATTGGAATGGGCCTAATTTAAAAATAAACCCGACCTGGCTCATAACTTCGGGCTTTTTTTTTTAAGTAGGCCAGGCGTGGGCTCATAAATATTTTGTGGGTTTAGATTTGGGCCCAAGCAGGCCCAGACCGGCCTGGCCCATTTTCTTCCCTAACCTATAGTTTTATCAGCAATACAAATCAACTATATATTTACCGACAAAACTTATCTTCAAAATGTTTTAGCATTTTCTATAAAGATTATCAATCATTAAATGCTAAACTTGACTATACAAAAAATAATAATTGTCACGACTGATGCTGAAATTTTGGGTTGTGATTTGAAAATATAAGTACTGCTAAAATCCACATATACTCTTTAATTACCAATTCTAACTCTAAACACCAACTCAGCCATAAAAAACAGCAGAAAAAAATATCTAAAAAATTTTAAAAAATCATATCAAAATAGGTTCAAATTTCAGCATCAGCCGATTTTAGCATCAGCCACAATAATTTAGCAGGAATTGCAATTGCAGACCAAAAGTTCGAAAGATTTACATTTGATAAACTTTATAAATGGAACTACAACATCCATATCATCTACATCTCAATCATCTTTATCTAATACAGATGCAATAGTGGGTGATATAATAGGTTTCATCACTTTTGTTGGCATATTAGTAGCTTTTGGCATCATATTACATCGAAGAGGGTACAAAACAAAAATATCTAATCCACTTATAAATACAAATAATCAGGCTTGCACTGATACAAATTCTCAGGTTTACTCTGATATAAATCATCAGATCCAAATATAAATAATTAAATTTATTCAGATACAAACCATAAAGCTTTCTAATTATTAGGGTGGTAAGAATATGCATGCTTCAAAAGATTTATACTATTCAATAAATGTCCAACATGGATGCTATGTACGATTTTGTGGCTTTTGGATACTTCGAAGCTCTAATCCCATCTATGGTAGAATTTTTTCAATCAGAGATAGAGAATTGCTGTTCATATATTAAATTTGGTTTAGTTATTTTTTAATTTCACATATTTAAATCAATTCCCAGT